AGAATAATTTTAAAATAGTGAAAAAATGCATTCTGTGTCACCTTTAAGGAAATTAGCATCATCATAGCTGTGCAAATCAGAGAGGCTGTTTATTCAAGACTATTTATAGAGTATATTAAAAGGTTAATATACAACTTTTGCTTAAAGAAATTTACAGGGAAATAGATCATTAAGAAATAGATAAATAGATGAATAATTAACACATGCCAGAATAAAAAGATGTATTTATAAACAAAAATTAATGGAGGAGAAATATAAAGTTGGTCTGTACAGATTGGTGAGTAAATGATATGTTTTGAAACTAACAATCTTTACAAGGTACATCAAACACATTTATTTTTAAAAAAAGTTTACAATTCAGTTTTCTGTTATGCACCCTTTAAAAATAAAGGTTCCAAATCAAATCAAAATGGGCTCTGTCGAGTACCGTTTTTGTAAATAAGAAGTTTAAAGAATTTCTTTATAATATAAAGGTTCTATACCAATTAAAGGTTTTCTTTAGAAAATACAAGCCAAGAACTACTATTTCTAAAGTGTGTGTGCATTTGAATTCTGTTATCATAAAAGGTCCATAACCTTCCAGAAATTACTATAAAAAAAATGTTCAAGACTGTTATTGAAATAAGCATCTCTGGTGACTAAGAGCATGCCATTACAACAAAAAATATCACATGCTAGATCAAAACAGTAAATGGTAGAGGCCTGCAAATCAGGAGAAAGCAATAGTCACTGACATTAGGTTCAATTTCATATTAACAGTGGATCAAAAATTATTAATATTAGTGGCCTTTAAGTGCATACGGTAATGAGACATCTCAGAGTAGTCCGTGTGACTAGAAGATGGACAATGAGAAGTGTTACAAAGGCCAAGAAAAAGATAAGTCCTCCGCAGTCATAAGATAGAAGATCTTCTTGTTCCAAATTTGGCACATTAAACTGTGCTGCGGCAGAGGTGGGTCATTAATTAGCCCCTCCTGCCTTCAACAGAATTCATTTAAGTGCATTTAACTGATGCGACAGCACTCATCTCTGTGTGATGTCACAGATGTGTATGACATGGTGAAAGCTGGTGGAACGATGAATCACTGTGCTTCTGAACTCAGCACTGAGTACTCAAAGTGACTGACGTCACTGCAGCTCATCATTACTGTCCAGCAGAGCCTGACTGCCCCTGCGGCCACAGACCATCATCACTGTCATTGACGATTCATGATCATCAGTTCAGAAGTTCCAAAGTACTTACAGAGATTTTGAAGTGGTTGAAAGATTGTCTATGGTTCATTTTAGTGACACAAATCTGCTATATGTCATCAGTTTCTGTACGGAATAAATATACAGCATATAATCTTTAGATGATACAAATTAAACCATGTAAAAAAATGAAGATGTGATCTATGACTCAGAAAAAAGTTTAATATCAGCAAGGCAGTGCAGAGAAATCACAACAGCATAACAGCCTTCTGGGCAGACTTGCTATTGTAGAACATTTCTAAATAAAGCCACCATTATCAAAATAAGAGTGTGTGGTGACTGACAGCGTGCCATTACACCGCAAATATCACATTCGAGGTCAAAACAGTAAATAGTGCAAGACAAATTACATCATGCACATTTGCCATTATGTGTCTGGTGAACTAAAGCTAGACTTTGTAAGTAAGTTAGTACATACAGTTGTATGCAATTTATCCTCTACAGAGCACACTTCTACATTTAATGCACAATTACTGTTTATTTGCTAAAGGTAACATACTGTGGAAAAAATAGACTGTGCAAAAGTCATGGCACACTATGTATTTTGTGTTTTATTTTTCCAATATGTTAAACTCAAAAATTTGAAGAAAAATGTTGCTTTTAAGTGTGCTGCCTATTCTTGCGTTTCACATGACATCACACTGTATGGTCACTGCCATTTTGAGGACCGAATCAAGGAGTGACTGCGCTAGAGCGCTGCCTTCAATTTGATGCGCTTTGTGACCAATTCACCTGCAAGACACGACAACAGACTACAAGACTACACGGACCTTTAATTCAGTATTTTTAAACTCCAGGCTTGGAGCACCTGCACTGTATGTGTGCAATACACACCTCATTCAGCTCAAGAAGGAATTATTTAGCTAATAATATAATGTATTTTAACCAGGGAAACCACAATTATGCAGTGCAGGGGTTGCAGGACTGGAGCTGGGGAACTCTGAACTAACTGCACTAGCAAACTTACCAAGTCATGCCTGTTGAAACACGATGTAGTTTTCCAACCCACAACATTCAGTCTCCTTACCCTTCCTATGATGACAAAGAGTTTTTTCTATTCTTTATGCAACACCATGGGATCCTTTACCCATCCTGATGTAAAGAGCCGATAGGCTTCCGTGCTTTTAAATGCTTTGAGAGACTCTCCAGAATAGGGAGAGGGGCTGTGTATGAGATAAATATATATGTCAGAAAAACACAAATTTGGTAGCTTTCCGCCAGTTTAAGTGGGACCAGGAGTTCTGGGGAAACTGTACAAGGATCGCAGTCTATTTTATCGACTTTCTTGAGGTAACGTTTTTTTTCTCTTTCAAAGTTAGTTAATTCATTTTAGCCATCTTTCACCTCTAGTTACGTTCGTGCAGAGCAGCAAAGCCAGAAATTCAGTCCCAAATATGGCGGCCACAACAGAAAAATCACGTGACTGAAACCCTAGCATAGAAGATGCGTTATCTTATTTTACCTAGAAAATCAACACAACATGTAACTCGACTGGGGGTGTTTATACTGTTGCAAATGACTGAATAAATGCACTGTTTTGTTCTGGCACTCTTTTAATTTGGCAATCATTAGCATTAGAACATCACTAAGCTCATAACTCAGGAAAGTGGCAATGATTTTAACAGTGTATCTACATGACTAATAGCACAACCAACAGCAATTATAAGACAAACTGGTCTCTGTTTAGTCTAAAACATTTCATAACTGCTGAGTGCTATGAGTTTAAGTCACCCTTTGGGTGACTTTCAGTATTTTCCCTACCATTAACTCACAAGCTTCTCAGCTTAACATTAACATGTAACTGGCATTTGTTTCCTAGTCTGTTTTTTTCCCCAGACTCACTCCAAAATCTTGTGAAAAGCTTTCCTAGAAGAATGGAGCCTGTTATAGCCAGCAGGGGGCAACTCCATATTAATGTCCATGGTTTTCATGTAGGATGTCCAACAAGCTCATATATGTGTGATGGTCAGGTGTCCACATACTTTTGTGTTAACTGAGAGCTAGACCTGGGGTGCCTATATTCTGTTCACAACAGGGGGCTTTGAATGTTAGCCATGGCTCTACGACTGGGAATGGTGACTTTGATATGTTGACTGTGTTGCAACCTTTTGTGTATTTTCTGGAGGCGGAGCTATCTTTTGTCCCAAGGGCATGAGTCTTGCATTTGTAGCGAGCAAAAGCACAAAAGCATACTGGAAAATGCAGGACTGAGCATTTCATTACTCAGATGAGGATAATCTCTTGATGACCATGGCTGGAGGAGACACTGGAGAAAGATACTTTTCTAGTCCTCTCTCCTTATATCTTTTCCTAATTTAGAATCTGTGCTTCTGTTTTGTTTTCCCCAATCTCACCTCTCCAACTCTCTCCAGTTCATTACTTCAATATTCAGTTTTGTTGCCATCTGACTTGTAACCAAAAAGAGGTCATATTAGTGCTGCAGCCAGGTTTGCATTATGACATTTATTAATCATTTAGGTGTTCATCAAGTCTACACAAGTGGTGTATTAAATACTGTAAACTAGAAGTACCCATGTACTGGAAAAATACTTGAAAATTGTATTTGATTCACAAGCTAGTGATTCATGCTGTCTTGTTCATTAAAAAAAGATGCAGCACATCACCCAGAATAAGTCGTGTAATGTAGCCCATGCCAGAAATTTCAGCATCTAAACTTGAAAGACAGACTTGAAAGAAATCACTTTTAAAGACCTATAAAGAGTTTTGTGGTAATAGCACCAACAATGCTGACACTATCCTGTTTGGTTAGATGGAAAGAAAATGGCCCATACTTAAAAGCAGTATTCTCAAAGCCTGCCTTGAGCTCCACTAGGGAGCTTGAACTAAGAAGCTGGAAAAAAGCTTTTAGGCTCAGATCACAAAATTCAAAGCATCATTAGTGCTGCTGGTGTAACAGTATCTCTGCCTTGTGAAACCATCCCTGCAATACAGTGTGGCAGCAGTATGTAATTGGGAGGCCTCTAATCAACAGGTATCTTCACCATTGGAACAGGAGAGAGAAAAGTACAGGCAGATGCATGTTTCAGCCTGTTACCAAACTGAAGTTAGGAGGAAAACATCACCTGTAAACCTGAAGTAATGTCACTGCGAGGCCAAGCCATCGCCCCATCTCTTACCACCTGGCTTCAGTCTTGGCCATGAGGTGAAGCACATTAAAGTGCTACACTGCATTTACTCAGTGTCAAACAGTGGAACATGTTTTTGCAAAAAAAGAAAAAGATTCAAAGCTCAAGTGCCAAAAATGTCCATTACCAAGAAAGCTGAATATTACGCTGAATCTCCAGTGCCACTTGGTGAGGAGCAGGTGATGACAGCCAGAAAGCATCCTTTCTCTTATTTTCCCAGCTGATACACGTGCTTAAGGGTCCAAAATACCTTCATCAGCCTCATAAACACTCTTTCAAAAACAGCCTATGAATAGGCCTACTCTGAGAAGGTGGACGTCAGTAGATGTTTACGGCTAATGTGACGCTGCAGGTTTGGATATCTGCAGTCAGTGCTTCTGCTTTAAGCAAAAGGAGAGGACAGCTTGCCCCTTTCATTAAAGCTCAGTCAAGAAACAATGTGGAATATCTGTAATCACTCCAATATGTATTTTTAGACAAACAATGAGATGGAGATGAGGGAGGGGGAAATGAAAGGAGGGAAAGGAGCATGAAGAGGAGAGATAGAGCAGATAAACAGAGTGGTAGGGGGGTGGGTTAAGAAGAAGGGGGCGATGCGGCGGTGGGCGGAAAGACGTAGGCAAAGAGAGAGAGGATAAGGGTGGGAGTGGGTTGAGGGGTGACTAGGGAAAGGGGAAGAACTCCACAAGAACATTTGCCTTTTTGCGTGAGAGGTCCAGCTTCAACTAGCTGTGCTGAAGAGCAGGACAGAGTGACCAGCAGTTGAAGCAGAGCTAAAGGAACGAAATAAAGGTGACAGAAGTGTGAGCTAAAACCTCTGCACTGCTTCATATAAGAATCGAGAAGAGGGGAAGTGAGTTTACGGTGCATTGCAGCAATTCAGGTAAGACAGTGGGTGAGTAGCAGACAATGGATGTGCTGATGCAATTATCACCCGTAATCATTAACTTTGCAGAAGTTATTGGAAATTTTAATTCACATTTTCTCACTACATTTTTTAAAAATAAACGGCTCAAAATGGTGAAACCATTTGATAGAACTTTTAAATTATGTGGAGATTCTATAAACTTTGCATAGGCTCTTCACACATAGTTTAATTGAAAGGTTGTTTAGGGAACCAGAAAAGTGTTTTTCTTTGGCATTGTTCCAAAGAACCAGTATTGGCTCCTTTATTATGCCATGTTGTTTTGCCTCTCCTTTTTTGATATTATGTGTTTTACACAATGACACAGAAATCAAATTATTATTCTTGTAACTCACATAAAAAAAGTGAATTCATGCAGTGCTATGATAGTTTGTTGTTCCGGTTTTCATACTGACTGATCTGTCATTTTCCTCCACTTTTCATTCTATTCTTTCCTCCATCATCTGCCGACCCCTCTGTCCTCTCCCCTTGCTCTGCCCACTGTGCACAGTGTGTGGGATTGCCCTGCTGAGAGGTGACCATGTGTAGGAGGGGGTTCTGTTTCTACCTGCTGCTGCTGCTCTTCGCTTGTACTGCTCTCTGTCAGAGACAGAGCTACGCTAAGCCTCAGCAGCTGCTGGACAGTGGTGACGAGGACGACGAGCAGAACTCCGTGGCCATCAACGTCCTGCCCGAGGTCCGGCACGTCCGGCTTGCACGACCTGCAGCCCTGGCTCCCAAAAGAGCAGCTCAGGGCTCTCGCTTTGCCCTGTCCCTCGACGTGCCCACCTCCATCCTGAGCGTCCTCATAGACCTAGCTAAGAACCACGACATGAGGGCCAAAGCTGCGGCCAATGCTGAGCTGATGGCACGCATTGGCAAGAGAAAATAGGTGCTGGGCTCGAGATGGACTGAGACCATCAGGGAGGGCCTATCCAGGGGCAAAGAGAAGCCAAGAGGCTCAAGCTCAGTCTCAAATGGCTCCCCACTCCTTACACAGTGCACTATACAACCTACACTACCATTGAAAAAGTTTGGACTGAATGTTTTCAATGATATAAAACCAATATTGTTGCAGAAATGGGAGCCATCTGTGACTGAGAGATATGCAGTCCACTGACAAATAATAAACTTAGAATACTCTGACTAAAATGTTCTCCAATTTGTTTTTCTTTGCTAACTTACTTTTAACATGAACCCAGAAACTACTGTGAAACCTAATGGAAAACTTGTCTTCTCACTGAGTCTGATTAAATGTTTAAAAGTCTTTTTTTTTTTTTAAAGAAACAGTGGGCATATCCTATTAAATAGTCAAAAACACCAGCAGAAAAACAAATGGTCTGCTATTCAGATCTGTCAGTTTCCTCTCTGTGTATGTTGTATAATAAATTCTAACAATTGGAATCAGTCTCTGCTTGGCCTTATGACGTAACAGTTTTTAATAACAGAGGTGATGCATTGCTAAGAGTGAATGGGCAAGATGGGTTGTGTGGTGGTGTGTGACAGAGAACAGGACAATGGGGGGCGGATATTGTCCCCAGTGCTACGATATGTATGGTACTGACAAAGATCATCATTAATTAACGGAACTCATAAATATGTTGGCCCACAAACAGAATGGAATGAAGGGTAATTCAGCAATGATAAATAAATGTGGGTGTGTGCGGCCTTATATTTAGCTGTCTCTGTGGACCAAATGTCTGAAGGATGATACAATGAAGGTCCAATATTGTGGTTCTCAAAGGATTAAGGCTTTTTTTCTCACTTAAGATTTCCTTTGGTCAGTTAAGAGTAGGCACACCAACATTTAACCATTCTAATTCAGCCTATGGAACAATGCCACAAAGAACATAAGAATATAGATGTATGTGTGTATGTGTGGTCGGAAGAAAGGTCTCAGTCGTGGTCAGTGAAGGAGCTCCATCCAGTACCCTTTTGGATGAGTCAGAGCGGCGTTTGTGATCTAGAACTTATTGTCCAACATCAGTAGCTGACCTCAGTATTTGCTCTTGTGGCTGAATGCAATCAGATCCTCGCAGCAATGTTCCAACACCTAGTATAAAGCCTTCTCAGAAGAATAGAGGCTGTTATAGGCTGGTATAAATGGACATGAGTCATGGTGCCTCAGGGCTCCAGTTTGTTCACTTCTCTCTGTGGTGTGGCGAGGACACAGCGGTCCTCTGGACTTTCTGTTCCAGCCCTGCAGCACTTCCCTCACGTGTCCACATGACGCCATAATGCAACAGCCAATCATGAGACTTAGCTCAAAAGGCACTGATTTTTGATACAATTGATACTACTAATCAGTTTAACCTTATAAAATTCCAAGCTTTTTACACACTAAAGCTTAATATTAAGTAGCTACAGGGCCTTCAATGCAAACTAGTGGAGCTTTTCTTAGGTTACAGAAGTGAGTAATAGCACTTTGGACCCAGGCCATTTAAGAGGTTAAAAGCCAGTGACCCTGCTAGCGATTAGGGATGGAAGACATCACTAGTTTTCTTTTCAATGCAAAGCCAAGTAATAAGGCTAAAATCAAAAATCCAATACTGATAATGATATCTTAAAAAATGTTGTGTACATAAAATGTACATAAAAAGGAGGAATCTGTAGATTTACCAATTTACCAAAGTATATTTGAAAGGCTTCTCATTACTATTAAATGAAACTGCCAAAGATCAGACTATTTAATTGAAGGTGGAGGATAAGTAGTCCCTCTTTCTTTTGTTTATTTGCAACAACCTTCTTTCCTCCATTTGCACCAAATGCACACTCAAATTCATAAGACAAAGACAAATTTTGAGTGATTATTAATAAAAGAAAACACCTAGAAGGAATAATTGTCAGAGGTCATGGTCAATGTGGTGCCTACTTCTGTGTCGATCATCCAAATGGTGATTATTACATGATTTTTGTTTACATCCCTTGGTTCATTCATCAGGTGAAAGTTATGTTGAAGATTTTAGTTGTGATAAGGATTATCACACAAATGTAATCATGAATTGACCCTGTTTCTAATCTCTGAACTTGAGCCATTACTCATTACTGATCTTCACTCAGACAGGCTTTGTTCGCGCTCCTGAGTTTGGAGGAGCTGAAGCACTCCCTCTCCACACGGTGGCATTAGCTCCACTGCAGCTGAAGCAGGTGGTCGCTATCTTGCTGCAGAAGGCGACTGACATGACAGATGTAATGAGGAATCATTTCTGACCTGCGGCCTATCACTACTTGACTTTGGTGTTGTCAGTCGATAGCAGCAGTGTAACACCCCCAGCCCTCCCCAGGGGCAGAATGAGATGAGAAAAAAGAAAACAGGGAGATGGGGACAGCAGGCCAAGTCTCACTGATATTCGCTGACGTCTGCGACAGCATTACGGCAACCTAGTACTTAGCATGCTTCATTTGATTTGATTGGACCTTTATTTGGCAGATTGGTTATCAGGGGTGACCGGGTCTGACCCCTCTTTCTTTCTGAATGGGTTCAACTGGCACTTGGGACATCGACATGATCAGGAGGTTATTTGTTTAGTGGATGACCATTTCTGAAGTACAACTTATCATATTTTTTTAGGGTGGCTTAAGTAATGCCTTTGTGCATCACTTAATGTGGTCTGTATGTATGTGAGAGAGAGAGACAGAAAGAAAGATAAAGAAAGAAAGCAATAGAGAGAGATAGAAACAACAATAACAGCAGGATACTGTCATCTTAATGCACTTAGGCTTTTATCCTACCCTCCTGCACCATCTCCTCCCCTAATCCCTGCAGATATTCTCATTATTACTCCGCCACGCACAACAAACACGGCCCAACAGGTGTAGGCGTGTGTGAAGAGAAAAAGAGAGCATGTATAAACACCTCTATGTGGACTGCTGTGTGCATGTCTTTATAGACCACATTTCCCCACAATGCTACAAAAACTTGAAAACTATCTTGTTTTAGTCATTTCATCCTTCATTTGAAACATTAAAAGCCTTAATTTGCATGTAATATAACGTTTGGTTAAAGTGCTTAAAGCAGTGGCAGCTGGTGGTCAAGTCTGAATTAACACATCCTACAGAGAACATCCTTTATTTAGCTGAATTTAGCACATCAGGAAAAAAGAATATGGCACATTTATTATTTATTACATTTTAATTATACATACTACATTTATTATTTTATATTCAAGCGTGAATATTTTAAGCAAAAAATAGAAATTGTAGAAATTAGCAGAAAAATGACATTCACACTTGTTCCCTGTAGAGGATCATTTCACTTAGAAAATCTACAAAACAAGTAATTTCACCAGGGGTTTACAAACATTTGCACACAACTGTGTGTCTGATCTTTGAAAAAATGAATGTGAGTACGAACGCAAGCTAGTTTAAAACAAAAAGTATTGTGGAAACCATGTTAATATTAATGAAACCAGGTAAATCTATTTGGGGGCTTTAAGTGATGAAGCCTGCTGCTTCAGATGAGCTAATACTAAAGCTAACACTAGAGCTATTTGGTGCAACATTATGCTTTTATACAGAAGGTCTTTTATCAAACCTCTATGCAATCATTGCAAAGAATGGCACACTTACAAGTGCATCAGTATTTATCATCACACATAATATTTTTAACTTTTTAAGTTAATTTATCAAGCTATCTGTCAACAGCTAAGTTATCAAAAGGTAACTAAGCTCACTAATGATCTTAATGATGGTTCAGTAATGTTAGACATCATACTAAAATGAGTGCTAGCAACTACAGTAAATTAGACAATGTTTCGCTTACCTTAGAGCTGCTCGTTTTAGCGACGTGAGTTGTGAGCATGGTGTTCTACGTAGCTTAATCTAAAACTTTTTCTTCAGCAATTAAAGAAAAACACCCTCAAAATTATATCCTTAGAAGGTGCTTGCTCCCAAGTAACACCTTTTTATATTTCTCATTGTAAATTACTGATGGTGCTATTCTTGCTGGCTTGGTGGAGAAAGAGATAGTTGATGAGCAGTGACTGGCTGGAATCTCGTTGGTCATTATTTTGCAAATAGACAACAGCTTAAAAAGTAGAAGGTATAATTCAGGAGTGGAGGGCCAGAGTCCAGCACAGTTTGGTGATCTTCCTGCTCTAGCACACCAACTAAACCTGGTAATCAGGTGCACCTGCACAGGAAAATCACCAAACTGTGCAGGATTCTGGCCCTCAGTTCCCCACCCCTAATCTAGGGTTTCAACTGTCCAATCAAAGTCTTCAAATGTACTATACAGAAGACAATGACAGAGCTGACTTGATGCATGATGCTGGTGTGCTTAATGCATTTACTTTTTTTAAACTGTATTTTATATTGTGAATTCTGAAATTTGTTATTTTTATTTTTTTATTTTCTTTTTATATTTAGTCATGCCTAAGTTACTTACATGGACAAGCCACTTCTGGTTTGAAAACCCTGTAATCTTCATTGACCCTTCTGTGGGTCCAGACTTCCATTTCTCCTCCCAGTCATTCTATATTGTTTTTGGATAATAAGCCTTAGAATGGGGACACAGAAAGAAATGTATAGGGTTATATTTCAGGTTAGGTGTAGGTGTATGTATGAGCATGTAGCTGCAGTATTGCATAGCTCAGTTGAAAATCTCCATCAAGACAGTATTACAAGTGTGTGTGTGTCTGTCTGCAAAATGTGTTTGTGTGCAAGCGTGTGACTTTTTGAAAATTCTCCAGGGTCACATACTGTGTGAAATGGCTTGGCATTAGAAAACATCTTGAGAAAGAGACACTCTACTAGGCCAAAGTATTGCCTGAGGCTCCCAGATCTCCTCTAGGATTGGCCCTGACTCGAGAGGTCATCTGAGAGAAGATGAGGAGAGGATGATGTGGTTTTATCCCCTTCACTGGGGTAATAGCATGCTCCTCAGTACCTAAAAACCAAACGCTCTCTCCCCATCCTTCACTCAACCGATCAATCTGATCTGTCAGTCATCAGACTCTTTAGCTCTCACTCCTCTTCAGCCTGTCTGACAGTAAGCTACACTGCATGTTCAATATGAGCCCTTTATTTATAGTTAAGCCACTAACATTGAAGGTCGTGTTTCATAAGAGCATGAGCATCGATTTGCAATTGCATTTTTCTTCTTCTGTTTCAGACATTATGTAAAGATAAATGTGTAAGGTCTGCTAATTGCGCATTAGTTGCCTGTTGAAATGGAGCTGAAATAGAAGGCCACGCCCGTGGAGCCAGAGTCATCATTTGTTCACTTGGCGACAAGGCAGTGAGCTCAGACTTGTATCTTTACAGAAAACGCCAGATAAGAGACGCTGTATAAGGAAATCAGAATGATGACGATGACGACCTGTGCTTTATGATGTCATGGCTGGACTTCCACCTTCATACGATTTGTTGATCAACTCTTAGAAGGCGTCATACATTTCCTAAACCTTTGTACACACTAACCATTGTGTTTTTCACACTCCTTAGTACAGATCATATGACATGAGTGGTGTGTACTCTAAAGTGTCAGGTTTTAAATTTTGCGTGCTGTAAAAATTTCATTGCTTTATTACTTCCCAGTCAGCGTTATAAGCAACAGAGAAAATACTCAATAATAACAAAATGTAATATATGAACCCAACAAAAAATGGGTCTATTTCTACCGATTTATTAAATTTTTAGTCATGCTTTACATGACTTCATTTTCATGATGGAATCTTTTGTTTGTGGTTAAAGGTAGGCAATATGGCAATATATTACTGTTTTCATGATAAATTGATATCCATGCTTAAAGAGCACTGAACAATTGCGTTTCATTAAAAAGAGCACAGTTATCAACGTGTAATTGGATTTAGTGCAGTACTGTATGTGAAATGGTGAATAAAAATTACTGTGCCAAAGTTTTTGATGGCAGTTTTTATTGTGAAATCATAGTTTTTGCCTTCTTGCCCAGCCCTATTTGTGGTATAAGTCCCATTTATTCTTTCATTTCTTTTATCAGCATTTAAAATTGTTCTTGTAGGCCGCATTTTAACTTGTGCTTAGGATTATCTGTTGACAGTATAAGTTTGTTCATGTAACTTTTTCTCTTTGAAAATTTCCCACAAATAGTGATTTTAAAAGTACTATAAAAGGTTCCTGGCAGTGATGCCACAGTAGAACAACTCCTGGTTCTCTAAAGAACCTTTTAATGGAGGTATAAAGAACCTTTTTAAAGCTGAAATGACCTCTATATAAAGTAAAGATTCTCTACCGATTAATATTTTTTTTCTTAGAACCACACATCCAATCCTAGAACCATTTAGGAACCTTTATATTTAAGACTATATAACTAAAAGTGACCATACTGTAAATATGCTAATCAAAATGTCAAAACATATATAACTATCTGGATATGTTCACTAATATTCTCTGAAACACACAGTGATTAACAATAAGAAATGAGTGATTGGTGACTGTGGTGCTTTTGAGAAGACTCATACGTGAGGCAGTGCAGTGTTTGGAGCCTGGGAGGCTGCCAAGCTGTCTTGCTTAACACAGCTGTAGACCCACGTCCTCCCTGCTGTCAGACTGGGGCAAAGGTGAAAGAGTGAGTGACGCAAGGACACCACAGGACTAGAAAGAGGCCAGCCACACAGAATACAGTGACATTTCAGCGACACAGGGATCTGACTGACCTAATACAGGAGCAAAAACTCACAGAAGTGTGATACTGAAGAGCAAAGACCAGAAGAGTGAAATCAAGGTAGGGTATGTTCTGTACAGAGAATTCAACAGCTTCTTGAATATGTCAGTGCTTTATTGGATTTAGAATAATCCAGTCATAATCCAGGACGTTACATATTCCTATTTGGACGGGTGATGTGGCTTGCCTGAAGTGCTTTTACTGAAAAAAATGAAAAAATGATTGGGTTTAAACTGTAATGTTAAGGTTACATCTATCAGATTATTTAAATATTCATGTGATACTTTACTATGTTATGATGATCTCAGCCCTGTAATGTTTTTAGGATTCTTTTTCAGAGTCCCTTATATTAATATGTACTTAAACAAAGACCTTCTTTGGGTTGTTATAAACAGAAATTCTAAAAACAGCTTCAGTAAACTAAATTTATCTCACGGATCAGGAAAAGCCCACTTTCTCGAGACCAGGATGCTCTTAGTGTTCTGTACAGCTTAAAACATGTTCTTAGTTCATGATTAATGGGATATTAAAGCTTATCTTGTTCACCTTTAAACTACCTATCTCATGGCTTAGATTAGCAGTGATATGTGAATTGCTGTTGCACAGACTGTTCCCTTTGCTGGCTATTGAACGCACTGTATTGCCTTCTCAGATTCATACATCTACTTCAACGTTTTTGTTTGTCTTTCATTCTGTTTTTATTGCCTTATCTATTTTGGTTTTGTTGTTTTTCCAAAACTCAGATCATACTGGTTGAATAGGATGGACTACGCCAAGAAGTCTCTCAATCTGTTCTCGCCTTCTTCTCTCTCCAAGTGAGTGTCTTGCCAACATCTTTACAGTAAATCCACTGTTCATTAGCGTAATTATTTGGGGACTAGCATGATGCATTATTAAAGCCAGATTTTCTGCATGTTCTGTGTATGTGCAGTATATCTCACAGATGTGTATCAGCCAGTGCTTCTGTCCTCCCAAGTTTCAGCCCCCGCCCCAGACCCTTCCGGGTCATCAACTCGGACCGCACCATAAAGAAAGGCATCATGGCAGATGGACTGGGAGACCTAGTAAACAAGGTGAGGGAGAAAGCAGAGGAGTGGAGGGGGACAGAGAGGGGGCCGGAAGGACATTTGAGTAAGAAATCATGTGAATAGTCCTTTTCTGACAGCCTCTCAAATTCACATCCAAACGCGAAGTGAGTCAGACAGAAGAAAGAATAAAGGAGAGAAGGGATGAATGACTCAGGCGTAACGAGGCATAGAGAGCGAACATGAAGAGAGGGAGAATGGGAGTGGGTAATGTTCAGAGTTCGATACTGGCCTCGCTCTGAGTCATTTGTGATTTACAAGTTACATACTCTGTCACTCCTAATCACACTCGTCAAAGGAAATCACTGCTAAAGTGACTAACACTGACATTTTACGTTTAGTTTCACATTTTACAACAAAACATTCATTTGATTCAAGTTAAATCGCTTGTAAAGATTAATATGTCTGTGAATAAAGCTAGAACATTATCTGTGTAACCTAGACTGCAATTACATAGTACTTAGGTAATTAGTAGGTAATAGTGGACAAGTTCTAAATTATCCACTATTACCTAATATATAATAGAGATGCACACAATTAAAAATTTGATCAATAATCAACAATTTTGGGACAACTACATAACTTTAAAGAATTCTTTAGGCTCTAGAATTTGTATGTCTGATGAAGGCCTAGAAAAGGTTGAAATGCTACAATTGTAGTATCATCTGATGTGCATAAAATTAAGTATCTTTGTATGGATATTTTTCTTTTCTTTTTCAAATTTAGAGGACAGTAGAGGCATGCCCCCCCACACACACACTTTTTGATATTATACAAGATACTCTGGGTGTTGCATAATGGTTGTCGAAAAAAGTACATATGTGAGTTGCAAAAGAGCTGTTAGATATCAATTATTACATAGCTCTCAATTACATTTTGAAACATGAATTAAAGCCAAAGTAGATTTTGTTTTGTTTAGTGTTAGTCAGTACTAACAAGCCATTTCCCTCGAACCAGTTTTTAAATGTCTTTACCGTATTATGACTGTTTACTTATGTCATGAAAGTTATTAATGTATCTTGCTTTTTCTTCTTAATTATCATCATGTGTGCCATACACTTTTAATGACACAATGGAGAGAAAAATGCCACTGTGATAGGCAACAAAACTGAATCTCTATCCTAAATAAGTATGATATCGTTGTTATTTGTTTTTGTGTTTTAACAGTGATGTATAAAGTATGACTTATCAGTATGGTAAGCGTAACTGTACGTGTACTTTGTTTGCCCAGTTTAACGTTTGACTTGCTGTATTTAACCTATGGCGTCCTGAAATTGGCGCCTCCCCCACTTGTCAGACTAAATTTACCCCCCCCAACTACGTGTACAGAATTTTCTGAAAAGACTTCTGAATACCACCCTAGCGCAAAGGACATCTGTTCACATTGACTGTATGACCTCAATATCGACCTCAAAAACGAACCTCACTGATTTAACTTTTATCCCTCAGACAATGGATGCCTTCCATGTATCCTGTGTAGCTGGTCTGGTGCTTGATGAGGACGGGACAGGAGTGGATACAGAGGACTTCTTCCAGACCCTTAAGGACAGCACTGTGCTCATGGTCCTGGAGAAAGGAGAGAAGTGGACGCCTCAGCAGGTATTTGGCCTGTGACGCTGGAAATTGCACCAGCCTCAACAACACTATATTTCAGGAAATGCCTTCAGAAATAGAACATATGATTTACTGCAGAGTGATTATAACACATTCATTACTGATAGACAGCATGTCACAAACATCTTCTGATGGACAGTGTGTCAACACAAGCCTCACAATGGCATTGCAAGTCCATTATGCCATATCAGACAGGAAAAAGTAGTATTACAAAGTTTACCAAAGTCAGTAACTGAGGTGTTCCCCTAAGTTTTCATAGCCAGCGATGATGGATTCCAGGAGCACAAAGACAGAGTAATTATTTTGAGAATTCACTGTGGTATGTCACAACACTGAAAAATAGCAGAGCCACAGGCCCGACGGCAACAAAGGCTCCCTCTGCTGAGTTCATTTCCTCTGCACTAGTCTAGCCAGCGCGCTTTAATAAGAGCATCATTTAGGCAGCACACACAAGCTCCTTGCCTTTGAATGGTGTTTGTCCAAAGTAGGTAATTTACATACACGCTTAATTATGTCTATAATGATTTGCAGGTACCTGAATGCCATTAACCTTTGTGTTTATTTGGCTCCCCCCTTACGCTGGGATTGTCATATTAGCATATGCCATTTCCTCCACTCTATCTTGTCCGTCATCCGCCATCACCCATCACTTTGAATGCATTAATCTGTATCTAAATGCACGTTAAATTAATTTTTGGGAGTAAGAGGCTGTTAGAGTGGAGAGGAGGAAGAGAATGGGGGGGTGAATTTGACCCCATTCGTGTTCATCCATCACATTTTGACAGTTAGTAAAGCACAGTTAGACACACATACACACTCACACACATGCCAACTTACATCTGCAGTGATGGAGTTTCACTCCAAAATGTGCCTGAGGCACTTTTCAGATGTGGCACACATCAGTCAGTATGTTGAAAAATATGATGATTTTCCATCCCTGTCCTTCAAACACAGAATTCATTTTGACTGTGGATTACCAAGTACTCATCCAAAATAATAATGTGAAATGCACAGTAATCTTTGCTCATGTCTTCCCAGATCAGTCTGTCCGGGAGTCATGGTGGAGAGCGCAAGACAAAGCTCAGGAAGGACCTGGCCAAACTGACCCTTGACTTTTACAAAAACCATCCTAAAGAATTCATTGGCTGCCTGAATGTCCAGATGACCCTGTATGGGATGTACTCCATGTCATATGATCTACAGTGCTACCATGCCAAGAGGATGCTGAGGTAAACAGTGCTTGTTGACCCATTTCTCTGTCACAACTTCTTCGTAAGTATGCTGAGATACTGAGCCTGACTCGAAACTGACGTTTTGTGATGAATTCTGAAGCAGATCAATAAACACTGGTGTCTTGAACATGAATATTTCAAGCAATGTTACCCAACAATGCGCATATGTGAGGCATGTGAAAATGCTATTTAATATTTTAAATTCTGGCAGAAATATGATCTGCTTTTTATCAGCTGTAGGACTAAAAAAACATTAGCTGATACCTATGCCATTCCTGATATTTCCCCTCATGAATACACAAACAGACAGCTATATTTATTAATTATGTATGTTTTTTGTCTCTCTGTTGCCAGGGAGGCCCTAAGATGGACTCTCTTCAGCATGCAGGCCACAGGCCATATCTTACTGGGTACCTCCTGCTATATGCAGCATCTTATTGATGAGGACGAGAAAGCTGAGGCACAACTGGCTGCATGCGAACACATGAACAAGCCGTTACAGGCCATCCAATGGAAGAAGACGGCAGCTGACCACAGAAACTAATAGCTTGAGTTTGGACAGGCCCATGGGATAATGACTTGCCTCAGTTTTTTGCCCAGAAGCTTTTGCTTTTTGGCAAGGAAACCATCGTAGCGTCATGTTACCTATGTTACAGAGCATAGCTATAATGGCAGGACCAACTGTGGTGTAAAATAACTCCACTGTGCTTCATATAGCACGTAGTCCATATATAGGGACACATATTGATGCAGTTTTTGATGTCTTATTATCCTGTAACTCCAGCACAATGGAGCTGAAATGAGACCGTGACTATTATTTCATGGATAAGAGAACTAAGAAAAGGTCTGTAGTTATAGAAAGTTGATTCTAGCCATTTGCACCGCAAAAGTAACCAAGTTAGTAAGGCTGCATTCACAAAACAATTTCATAATCCTCAAAAAATACACTGACAAGCATAGCTGGTTTATTGTGGGTGTGTTTCTGGGAGGAGATTCTGGGAGGTTTGAGTGAGAATTTCATTCATAAAAGCAAAAACTACTGACGGTTGTTGCTCTTTTACATAAAAGCAAGCAAAAAAGATTAGTTTTAATCAAATCACTCACTGTCCTGCTATATCTTAAGAGCTGAATTTTACAGCTCTAGATGTGAGTTGACTACAGCAATCAGTTATTAAATAATTTTGTTTTAAATCAACGTGACTAAAGCCCTGCCCTGCACCATATCCTATTGGCTGATGTATGAGTGTGCCATAGTTTGCGCAACCAAAAGTTAGACTCTGGCACAATGTGCATTTTTACAGATACAAACATGTCTATGTGAACATGGCCTAAAGCAGGGTGAAAAATCTGACTAAATCAGTCACAGCCAAAACTGTTCTGTGTCTTGTTGAGAAGCAAGAATGTACAATTTTGCTACCTGCACTTAATACTTTTAAGTACATATATGTGTTTTTTGTTTAGAACGTGTATTTGTGTAGAGCTATTAATATTTATTCACATTTCTAAATGCTAGAAATTTTTGCTGTCTCACTTTTATACTGTATATTATGTCTGTTCTTTCTCCAAGTGTTTGGATTAAACATTAAGTTTTAATGCTTCTGGGGATGTTGCTCGGCATTCAGGTCTCAGTATGGTTGTGTATGTATGAGTCTTGATCTTTTTGCAGAGTGCATGAGCGTGTGTGTGTGTATGTTGCATGTACCCTGCAGCTGTAAGCTGAGTGCTAGGAGAGGGGATGACATGCTTGTCTGACTGGCCTGGGCTGTAATTGGCCTCCGGACGGGTGCTTTCCCACATCCCACACCAGCCGGTAATTGCCTGTGAGAGAGAGAGAGAAAGAGAGAGAGAGAGAGAGAGAGAGAGAGAGAAAGAGAGAGAGAGAGAGAGAGAGAGAGAAAGAGAGAGGACATGAGAGTATTACAAGTCGACGTTATGGGGAAGAGGGGGGTGAAAAATTAACGAAGGGAGGAGAAATACAGAGAGACAGAGAGAGAAAGTGAGACAGAGAGAAAGAGCAGAAAGGCACAGCTGGAGTGGGGTAAAGTGGAGGGGACGGAAATGATCCCTTTCAGAGAGAGGAGAACGGATGACGCATTTGGATCCTGCACCTACCACTCCACACCACTCAGTGCCCTTTCCAAATCATGCCGTTTCACTCACACACAACGCTCCCACTGCAGCCTGCCAACTGGCCACTTTGTTAGCGACTAGCCTTTAAAAGGCACTGACAAACTGATGATTAGCCAATATGAGAGTAGAACACCTTAAATTAGAACATGAAGAGGTGTTATAAACAGGTTTCCTCACAACTCAACAAATAGTGTCATGACTCAAATTAACAATAGGCTTACTGGTAGACTAGATTTCCAAGTGTTCTAGTGGTCCCTCAATGTCATAACATCACGTTATTAGCTATTCCTGACAGCAGTGCAGTCATCATCTTACCTATTCAAACGCTTCTGGTGGAAGAAAACAATAACAATCAACCAGAACGCTGGATTCACTTCACTAATCAAAACCACTCTTCACTATAATGTAGTTGGGTTAAAATCAGACAACTGAGATGTATAAAAAAAATCCTAGGCTAAAATATGCTGCCACTGGCAACAGGAAAAATGTTTATGGACCATTTATGTCTTACCTTTGATGACTCGATGCATTGAAGTTGACACTTGCATTGACATTTTGACACAGCTCATTTAGCTTTTGCAGAAAAAAGCATTGTAAGTACTGAGTTTGTAGGCTTCTGATAATGTTTTTAAATTTAAAAATTTTTTTGGATTTGAATGGGTAGAAAATGACAGTCTCCACTATACTGGGGGAGTATCTCACTCCCCTAGCTAAATGTTTTGACCACATTTAGAGCTTTGATTTTAAACTGTGGCACATACAAAGGTTGCTAAGTAGTACCTGGAGGGCTAAACAAACTACATAATCTTAAAAAATGCTGTTTAATACATATTCTGTCCTCTTTTGATTTGGTAGGCCTGTGATCAATCTGGGTAGGCCAAGGCTACACTCCTGCAAAAAAAACACAAATCAAAAACGCAGCCCTTCAGAAAAAAAAAAAAATATCCAATGTGTCAATAATGTGAGCGTGTATGTTTATCAGTATGCATTCTGTTGCTTTTGTAATTAATGATAAAAAATATCTCTGTAAGAGAAAAACAAAAAACTAAATTCTTAACATTAGTGTACTTTAACATGAAGAAACTTATTCCAAGTAATTCTGAACCATTTCTATTGGTGCATTCATCATGAAATCTTCACTTAACACTTAAAATAAAAAGAAAACGTCATTTTCAAATGGTGTTAAAAAAAGGAAAAGGAAAGAAATGCTAGCACATGCATTAAACTATCCCAGTGTAAATCAAGCTGCATACTAAATGCAGATGTGTCTTTAGTTCAGGCAGCCACTCTACAATTCTTTTACAGCAGGGGGGCTTCTGGAGCTCTAACACCCTGCAGAGCTCCAACATATAACCAGCGCACCTGATCCAGGTAATCACGGCCTCAGAATCATCTGAATGCCAGGTGCGTCAGATTGCAGGGAGAAGGGGGCTGTTTCTGATCTGCAATGGTAGGCAGAATAGGGGTTACTGAAAATAAGTTGTGCATTAAAACATTCTTTTTTCACATTCAACTTTTCAACATTGTATAAGAAAATCAATATTTCAATGTTTCATAAAAAAATCAATTCCCTGAAGTGAAAGCAGAATCATGTAGCACACACACCACATATTAACATTCTCACACTTACACACGTCTCACATAAAGATTAACTATGCCCTGAAGAGACAGAGCAGACAGATGACTTTTGCCACTGCAGCGTGAAACCAATCCTTCCCAAAGCTTTTAACTAATTGGTTATTGATGTAAAGGACACAGAAACACGGTCACTTACTTTATTGATCTTCCTTTTAGTCTCAAAAGAGGCAGCTTCTCTGACTACATATAATAATTGTGCTTTCTCACTTTCACTGCTGTCTGTTTTAGCTTTTTTAACTACTTATGTGCCTCAATCCATCTATCTATCCAGATGATACCAAGTCAATAATTAACACCAAGGGCTGTTTTTAATTATTGGAAGCCCTAAATGACAATCTATTTGGGGACCCTATGTAAAATCTTACTAGGGGACCTTAAGTGACATCCTACTTGGCAACCAGTGGTGACAAACCACTTTGGGGCCCTTGCTAACATCCTACATGGGGTCCCTAAGTGACATCCTACTTGGGGACACTAAGCAACATCTTACTTCGGGAACCTAAGTGAAATCCTACATGGCAACCAATGGCGACAACCTACTTGGGGGCAGTAGATGACATCCCTCTAAGCAACAACCTATTCAGGGCCCCTAAGCAACATCTTACTTTGCAATCCTAGGTGACAACCTACTTGGGAGCCAAAGGTGACATCATACTTGGAAACCCTAAGCAACATCCTACCCCTCAGGGGCCCTAAGCAACTACATATACTGCCTGCAGCAAGAAACAGCCCTGCCAACATTTAGAAATGTATGAAAGCAGTTACAAACAAATGATGCATGATATACAGTAACTTGAGATCCCCATTAGAGCACATTCTTTGGTCTTTCATAATAATACATAGCTTTCTTTTCTCTCTCAAATACACACACACGTATGATCATACATGCATGCAAACATGCATGCATAAACACACATACATACACATCTTGTTGGAATGTGTATTTGAGCCCTGGCCGACTCCTCACTGCTCTGCATAATGCTCTTTGAGGTATTCAGTTAGCACTGCTCCTGAGAAGCGAGCTAGAGTAAATGAAATGTGGCGGACAGATTGCTATCCAATTCCATCCAGTCCAGACATATTCTTCTGTTCTCCGATTAACAGCATTGCACATGGCCATAATATAACATGTCATTTAATAACATTTATTACCACAGAATGGAATCAGAGTCAGGTAGCCTTAGAGACATGGACAGAGACATTAACCTTAAAGATCAGGACCTACTAAGACCTCTAAGAGCAAGACTACGGGTTGTGATATTGTGGCGCCACCACTTCACTGGGAGAGCAGAGAGGAGCACGTAGAGGTCTCCCAGAATGCCATGCGCCTCTCTGTAGCTCTTTTCTAGTGTAAATTGAATGTGTTATGTGTAGTTGTTGTTCGGCTAAAATGTAGCTTTTCAGTTAGTGTGTTTTGAAGTTTTCACCCTCTTCAGGTTGTGCTTTTCTTTTCTTGACCTCTCCCCCATTTCCACTATGAGTTCAGTTCCCCCTGTGGGTCTTCAACACTGACACTGTACTGGTTTCACTTTACAAAATGACTTCCATAAATATAAGATATAATATTATAATATTCTTGTAAAAATGTGAAATATTACATATATCTATTACATTAAAGATGCATCCGGGGGGCACCCAGTAGCACACAGCCTCATGAGAGGACTAGGGCACCCACTGCCGAGGAGCGGGCATCTTGTGGAACTTGGGCTGGCCCGGGCCAAAACCCTCGTTGCAGAGAGGCTGTGGCTCAAGCGACACGCACCCATGCGCCTCAGAGACTTTGTTTGGGCTGTGTGAATGCCATGCGCCTCTTCACAGCCTTTGTTTAGTGTAAATTTAGTATGCTGTTGTTTAGCTGAAATGTGTGTGCATTTTGGTCAAACAAGTGTGTTTTGAAGTGTTCACCACCTTCTGGTTGCACTTTTCTTTTATTAACCTCTCCTCCCATTTCCTTTGTGAGTTCAGTTGAGTTCAGTCTCTGCCTGTTATTTCAATAAGCAACATTTTTTTCTGACAGAAAATCACAGACTCTCTGGTTCTTCTTCTGCGCCAATGCTACAATATTAAAGTGGATTTGAATGAGACTAAAATCAGCCTATAACTAAAACACAGTTCTGTATATGCTACTCTCCCTTTTCTCCCTTTGTCTCTTGTTACACATTCTCGTGTGAACATACTCGTGTGCACATACCCACACACACACTGAGGCATCCAGGTGTCACATGCAGGCGTCAAATGTACACTGTAAGTCAACATCAGCAGCCTTACAAAGCTGATGAGGAACACATATGTAAACATTTAATTTCGCACAGCAAATTTATATTAGAACCCCCTATCTTCATAAAGCAGCAATAGCTGCTCCAATCCACTGCAAAACCACTGCGCATGCTCCGAGGCAACGTGAGTGTATAGTCGTTATTTTTTTCACTGGGCCAATTTACATTAGATTTAGTGAACTAGATGAAGTGTACTGGGCTGCAGTGCACGAACTGCGACTGGAACGGATCTCTCTCACCATACCTGTCGAATAAATCGGAGGGAAACCTCTTACAACGACATGTGACTGGAGGCTACATAACCACAAAAACCGTTTCCTCGCACTGTCGCCCCCTCAGCACCGCGACGGTGGGTGTCTCACAGCGTTCCCACATGTTCACCCTTGAGGTGTCTTGGATGACCTTGTGTAGAATGTGGAGACCCTCCCTCTTTCTCTTCCTCCTCCTCCCTCCTCCTCCTGCTCTTCTCCGTATTGGACGGCCAACACGAAGTCTGTGTGTCCACGCGCTAGACATATTTTTCCCACCCGTTATCCGACAAGTCCCGCCCTCTGCGCTAGGATTGGCTAGGTGTGGGCTATCCCGGTCCGTGTGATAGGATTGGATAGTAGTATCTAACCCACTGCTCTATGGTTGGCTAATAGTATCTCTCCTCTTGCGCTTTGATTGGCTAGTAGTAATCCAGTCCTATGCTATGATTGGTTAGTGGTTCATACTCACAAACCGCGGGCTGCTTGTGAGTGTTGTACTATTAGCCAATCCGAGTATGTGTAGCGACTACAAGCCAATCGTGGCGTAGGAGGCGGGACACGACGGAAAACAGGTGGGTTTTAAAAATAACGCGTTTTTCCCTCAGTGCTGGTGAGCACCGCTACTCTCACCGCAGTGCATGTGGTTTGAAGTCCTAATAGAGAGATCTGGAGGTTGCCGCTGACCCGCACACACACATTTATTAACGAGAGCGAGAAGAGCTCGTGGACATTTTAGACCGCTTACAGACCAAATGCCACGCTGTCATTAGGCTATTATAATGACATGCCAAAAACTTGCAGTGCGGTCCATGCTGATGCATTTTTCAATATGTTACATATAAGAAGACGCCTGTCGTGCGCTGGGCTCTCGCCTCACAGAGACACCTGTCCGGGCATGTAGCGGTAAGTTACACACAGTTGTAAACGTTTCCGTGTCACATTCACAGATATACATCGTTTATGACATTGTGCATGCATTATAGAGCTTAGACATGCATTATAGATATGAATTGTGCATGTCTGCACGGTCTGCGTTGTGCATGTGTGTAATTGTCAGTGGAAATCTATAGCAGTCTCTATTGTGCCTTATTTTTAACATCTGGAAAAAGAAAAAAAAAAAAACATGACATAAAGCTGTTTATGTCCTCTCTCGCGTTCTTCATTACCTCAGATATCTATTTTTCATCTTCCAGAGGTTACAGGTTTTGAACCATGGCTCATATTTCCACTTGAGTGCTTGGAGCTGGTGACAATCAATAGCTTGTATCTGCATTACTTGTGCAGTGATGTGTTCATCCACTGAGATTCTGTCAGCACTTGCAGCAGGCAGTGCACAACAGGCTTAATGCTTTGAATGTTGTTCATTGGATGGGAAGTTTTTCTGCCCCTCTGGGACATACTGAGCCTCTCAGTTTCATCATTTGCTATTGTTGTTGTTGTTGTTGTGTCCAATCCGCAAATTAGGGTTTTTGCTGATGTTGTTGTTTGTCTCATTTAATTGTTGTGTGTGCTGCTAATTTTCTTGCTTTTGTAGCCTACAGTGCTATCATTAACTTTCATAAGCACCAACTTTATAGAGGCATATTTTAATGCATGCCTAGAAGCAAGGATGCAATTTAGTGAAGTGGATTATTAAATTAATGTTTGCTGGGGGAAAGAAATAATGATCTAATATTGCTGTTTATTACATGTTAATCACATGTGAAATTTGTTGTGGCAAAAGTAGGTTAGGTCCCTAAAGAGATGTGCACAAACACATGGTGTATACATCCGCCAGCATTTCCATAGCCGGGGGCTTTGACTTGTGACTATAGGGACCAGAGGTGCAGCTTCTCAGCCCAGAGGCTGATTTTTTCTCCACAATCCTTTGGGACTCTCTTCTCTTGACCCTCTGAGGACCCAACAGGAAGATGCTTTCCTGCAAGCGCTGAGTTGTGCAAAACACTACTTTGAAAAGTAAACAACAGAAGAATATGCTAGGCTGAAAAAGCTGGGCAGATATGGTTGGAAAACGAAACTGTTCTTACTTCTTATTATGCAGGCATGCAATGTTAATCATAAAGTGCTGCATGTTTTAACATATTCTACAATTTTCTTGCATTTTTTCCCCTGAGGTCCAGTTATGTTCATTTTTCAATCACCCTTTATCCCTTACAATTAAACAACCTGTTGTGATTTAATGCGAAATGGTTTGTCATAGAGAAACTTAAAGACTCACATTTCTTCACAGTGGTGGTAATAGGAACCAGGAGTCACAATGTCTACAACAGAAATACAGTAAATTTATTTACTATTCAAAACCGCTAGTGAACCTACACATGCCTTTTTTTTGTTTGTTTTTATATGCAACTCATGATGGTAAAGTAGTGGTAAATCTGAAAAAATACATTTTCTTTGGGGACTATTTTGCCTTACAACATCTGAAAATTACCTCCCCGCCAAGAATAGGTTTTCAAAAACAGGTTTTAGACTAAATCAGCGCCTCAGGCATTGGGCACCATAAAGGTACCTATTTCATAATATATTTTAATATATTTCTGTGATAGGGCTTTTAGATGCATTAGACTCTTTGGACGTCTGGTTCCTATCACCACCACTGTGAACAATTCTGACTTAAGTATCTCTAGACAAATCATTTCACATCAAACCACTCTGAATAACTTTGTTTATATCTTAAAGATTGAGTTATGCAGAAATGTTTAAAAGTCAGTGGAATTCCCTTTTATGACTGATATATGTAAATAAGCTATGATGTGATTCTTTGTCCTGTATCGGGCCTAATTCAAAAAGGAGGCTGAAAAACTTCTTATAACTTCAGTGTGAATAGGTGGGGCTAAACTGACATAGGCAGAATAGGCAGACCTATGTACATGAGTTGGCTTTTATGACAACACAAAAAGAATTAATTCAAAGCAGGCTGTTTTTGCAGCTTAGTTTCCAAATACTGACAGCATGGACTGGATGTGAATGGTACGTTTTGAAACTTTTAACAGTCTACACACTACTCAAAATCAGTTCATTCAAAACTGAGTAAAGTTCAGTTATCCATGTTATGGGCCCTTTAAGTACTGATGCTGTATGTTCGATGATGAAGATATTGCATGCACTGTTTGTGTCTGCGTATTTCAGGAGTGTTTTTTTCTCAGTTGCAGAACCTCCACCAGTGTGTTACTGATATTCTCCGTGCATCAATATTCCACACCCTTCCTCCTCTCTTCCCTCTGTTGTTTTGCCTTTACCTACCACATACTGCAAAAAGGAAGATCTGTCTTCTTTCCTTGCTTGCTTGTCTGAGGAGTGGATGGTGAGATGAAAGTGGTGTCTCATCTCCCTCTCCTTCACCTGCATAGAGATATCAGAGAGAGAGAAAGAGAGAAAGAGAGAGAGAGAGAGAGAGAGAGAGACAGTAAAGTTCTTGAGACAGTGAGGGCATATCAAAAGAGTGCAGGAGAAGAGGGCAAGAGAGGAGAGAGCAAAAGTAGCACTGATAGCTCCAAAAGGAAAGAAAGACAGGGGAAAAGCAGGAGATGAAAAGATAGAGGCAGTGGAGGAAAGGGAAAGAGTGAAGGGAGGAGGTTAGATAGAAGAGGATGAGGTGAAAAGCGTAATGAGAGAGGAGTAGAATCCTGATGAAAGGATCGCTTGCCTGTGTGCTTTCACTATGAATGAAAGTTAACCTCTTGACAGACACAGACATCTATTACCATGAAAACATCACCTCATATCGCTCCCTGTCTCGCTCTCCCTCTCTCTCTCCCTCCGTTGCCAGGAGATGAATTAGATTAATTGTGTTGTAATTGCCTCCTTCTGTAGATAAGAAACTTCATCATTTCAGCCAAATCTTCGAGTCCAAGTCTCTCTCTCTCTTAATCTCTCTTGCTTACAAGCCACTTATTTCACTTATTTGAATTCCACAAGATTTCTTTAAGAGCCTGGGGTTGTATTATTAATGTATGTCCATAAAATGGCCACAAGATCCCTTTCTGCTGGACACTTGGTACTTCTACAGTATTTAGTGCTTAACTTGATAAAGAACATTTCACTAACTTCTTCAGATCATTTAGATCCATGTCATCTGTCACCCTCTAAACCCTACCAACCCTTACTTTCTGCATTGTATCATCAAAGAGTCCTTCTGTAATCCCGTATCAAACACATTCACATGGTGCTTGCAGGTACATATCGCTACAACTCAAAAGTGCTTGCGAGAATTGTGGCTGGTGGCTGTAATCCGACGTTATCTTCATAAGCAGAGGCGCATCTTCAGCTGAGCTGTTGCTCGTTGGAGCTAGTCATGTCAGTGGCTGACAATGATGAGAGGTCTCTCCATGTAAACAGCAGGTGTTACAGGGCTGAGACTTGTATTGAACGGCTGTAAAAATCTTGTCAGATGGTCAATATTCTGAAAGCATTAGAGCAGACACCAAACCTTCTTTTGTATTCTTCAGCTTCTAATGGGGTTATCAAATTCACATAAGGAAAGCCTGCTGTTTGTTAAAGTTTGGCCTGAGTGAGTTTTGAATGCCAAGCATTACTAGGAGATTAGACCAAATAACTTCTGTTTAAATTTATCCAAAATGCATTAAATGAGAATTCCACCAATTTGGGAAAAAAAAGTGCAAGATTAAATCATTGAAATGTAAACAAAGTCATTCAGAGTAATTTGAGGTGAAATGGTGCATTGTGGAGAAATTTACAGACTGTTGTCAGTAAACACTGTTTGTCGCTGCATCTACAAATGCAAGTTAAGACTGCACTATACATAGATGAAGTCTTATGTCAACAATGTTCAGTATGACTGCCGACTTCTCTGGACTCAAGTTCATCTGAAATGTACTGCTGCACAGGGTAAATGTATATTTTGGTCTGACATATCAACCTTTCAGACAGCTTAATGAAAAAATGGACATCATTTTGAAAAAGTAGAGGACCATGCAGATTGTTACCAGCGTAAAGTTCAAAGGCCAGCATCTGTCACAGTATGGGGAGTATTAGAGGGTAACTTGCACATCTATGAAGGCCATGAACGCTGACAGATATGTACACATTTTGGAGCAACGTATGCTGCCTTTTAGATGTCCATGCTTGTTTTAACATGACAACACCAAGAAACATTCTGCATGTGTTAAAACAGCATGGCGGCATAATCAGAGATTGCAGGTGCACTGAAAACGTGTGCCACATTGTGAAGCACAAAATACAACAACAAAGGCCGTAGTTGGTGTCTTCAGTCTCCAAACGATTATAAGGTGTTGCTGAAAGAAGAGGTGATGTAACCCAGTGGTAAACATAGTTCTGTTCCGACTTTTTTGGAACATGTTGCAGGCATCATATTTGTGTGTATATCTACAAAAAAAACAACAAGCTTATAGGGTAAACTATCAAATAGCATGTTTTTGTACTATTTTCAAATTAATATAGGTTATTCTGTTTTTATTGGCATTTCACATACTGTCTCAACATTTTTTGGAATTGGGTTTGTACCTCTTCATCATTAATTATTTAAAGGTACATTTATCTTAAAACTATTGTAAAATAACATCTCTAGTGTCAAGCAGCATATTCCTAACAAGTTTGTGTAATAGCTTCCAGAGACATTCAATCTGGTGCCTATCACTACAGCTGTGAATAATTCTGGATCGCTATGTTTCTCTAGAGTTGTGAATTTTGCATTAAACCACTCTGAAAGATTATGTTGACATTTTAATAATTATGCAGAAATGTTTAAATTGATAGAATTCCTCTTTAACTTAAACAGATTTCTACTGATTTTGGTTATTTTTAGATTTTTTTAGATTTTTTCCTTGTTTTAAAAAAAATGTAAACAAAACAGTTTTACTCTGTTTGCAAATAAGCTTGCTTGATTCATCTCCCTTCTTATTTAACATTGACCTTATACAGTG